CAGTTGCAAAGACCTTCCCTCTAATAATTGCTCTCTCATAGACTTCAGCCATGGCAAGCTCATCTCCAGCAGATAAATCACACAATGTGAACAGAATGTTTTTTTCAGTTTGTTCAAGTATTTTCTGGCGGGGACAACCCAGGAAAACAATATCATGAATTTGTTTTGCTTTTGTGTCAAGAGGGTAGCCACTTACCCAGTCATTACCTAGCTTGTTAACTCTATGTGTGATATCAGAACTAGATGTGGATTGAGATAGCTGAAGATATGTAGGTATGGACTGGAGAGTGATGAACTGACGTGCAATTTGTGTTGATATATAATTAATACCATGACACATTTTTTTCAGTATCTGATTGTATCCTTCAAAACAAAATGTAGATGTGGACCACAGTGGCCCATGCCTTCTGACAGATGAGGGCAAATTGGTTAGTGGGTGAACATTGAAGGACATGTGGTACAAGCCATACATTGCTGGCATCTTTTCCACAAATGTTTTGATTTTGAAGGTTGCCTCTGCTAAGTCACATTCACAAATGTTCTCTTTAAGAAACAAGAAGATTGCAGCTACTAACAGCATCCAATGTTTCAAAAACTTGTCTGGTAGAATATTATCAAGTACAGGCACACTGTAAAACAGCAGCCAACTTCGGCACTCTGCTGCCTACCAATTATGTGCCTCTCTCACAGTCCTTGGCAATCTCGGTACATCAGAGGGGGGATTTATAGACAGCAACCTCTGGTCAACTTGGTATTTGTATGTCCCAATATACCAAGGACTATTGTTGTGCTTGCTATTGAACCAAAGGTCCAACAATTGTTTTGTCACTCCTAACGTCACACAATGCATGTAGTCAACAGGAAAACTCTTGACTAAATCGAAGCCAGTGGAGGGATTCAATAAAACAAGTGGTGAGATTACTTTTACCCGAAATACATGGTCAAGCCCATCCTCATGCAGTCACCCTCTTGCCACATTCTACAAGATGATCATGGGTTCTTGGCTCACCTTCAACAACTGGATAGACCCTTGTGAACCCTTTTCCCTTTGTCACAGTTTTTCCCTCATTCAGGCATTGGCCACAGCCATATGTACCATTGAACTGATGTATCCCTTGAAGCTTGCATCTAGCTACAGCATCCTATGAGCAAAGTATAGGAAAGACTTTTGAGGGTATCAAAAGTCTCTGTGTTAGTTTTTGGGTCTCTCCATTTCACCCCTTGTGTGTTGATTGTTTCAATATCATCCGCAAACTGCTTAAGGTAGAAAGACATGTCAGGTTTTCCTTTTCCAAACCAAACACCTGCTAAAATTGTTTTTGAAATGAATGTTGGGTGGGAGTTCATTAATTACAGATCTAATTGGCCACAGAGAATAGGAAGAGGAGTTGAAAACTTTGAGCCCATCACAGTTCCATAGAAGGAATATATCATCTTTTTCAAAAGGGAGAGTTTTAGGCATCTCTGCTCTGCACACATCACTCAACCTGAGCTCCTTTCGAACAGTAGCAGATTCTCTCTCTAGAATGTCTGTAATTTGATTTGACAAAGACAAACTAATAAAAAAGTTTCCGGTCTTCAAATGATCATTTTCATCTACTTCTGCACAGCAGTCAGGGCACTCTTGGCTCCTACCTGGCAGATAGGCATTGCATTCTTTACAAAATAAGTGTATGCTGACTGAATCTGATGGCGCTTTGAAGATTTTCTTAAAAAGGTGAAGAGACTATGGCAAAAGGTTGTTACATGGTAATAGAATATTTTAAAGCTTAAGGAGGTCCTGCATAGCACATGCCGCCATGTTGTGTCTTACAGAATATGACAGGAGAAGTACTACAGACTGGGCAAGAGTTATATCTGACCCTAGGAAAAAAAAGGGGCCCAAAATTTTCAAATTATGTAAAACATGCACTGCAGTCTTTATCAGGGTCAATGTCATGGCCACAGTGGTCACGAGTGTCCTCACAAATAAACTGATCACCACATCTGTCTATATCCACAATGTTCATTCCATCACCAGTTTCTTCATCATTGTAGCTTGTGGACATCTGACTATCAAGACATTCATCTGAACAAACAGAATGCCACCGACTGGTCTTAGGAAGTGGGCAGGATGAATCAGGATTAAGGAATCTGTCAACAATGAAGTAGGGCCACTGTAAAAAAAAAAAACCTGCTTGCTTTGATACATTTAAAAGATATATATTACAAAAATGATATCAGGCAGTTTAAGGATCATGAAAGAAATTTTGTAATAGCTCACTTGAAGGACAATTTACCTTTTATAAGAACTTTTCAAGACTTTGGACCAAACAGTTTCTATGTTAATGTCCTCCCTGTAAACTCAAAAAGATATAATCAATAAATATAATTAATCATATAAATAGTCAATAATTTTTGACATTACAGTACATTAGTAACGAAATATTTCTAATTTAGTTAGAACTGGCCTCTGATCTCGTTGGTGAGGTCACTTAGGATTCGCGCATCGGGTGGTCGCGAGCCCAGCTGGGAAGAGTCACCGGTGTTCGCGCTTCTCTCCTCAGGGGGGTCGCGAGCCCGTCTGAAGAGAGGTACGTTTGTTCGTTCGTTTACTTAACAATCCATTAATGACATTAAAAACTACGGTATAAAGTTTTAAAAGCGCTATGGTTTTATTGTTAAATAGATGATGAATTGTTTTTTTTTTTTATCTTGTTCGTTCTTGAAAAAGTGTTTTGCCGTGTACAGCACTAAGAAAAGGTCTGATGCTGGCCGCTTAGTAAGTTAACAGTATTGTCACGCCCAGCTCCGTCCGATCCTTGTGTGTGCCACGCCCCCTCATTACCTCGTGTCAATTCCCGGTTGTGATCACCTGTGTCCTGTTATTTCTGGCTAGTCTTATGTACAGGTCCTTCTCAAAAAATTAGCATATTGTGATAAAGTTCATTATTTTCTGTAATGGACTGATAAACATTAGACTTTCATATATGTTAGATTCATTACACACAACTGAAGTAGTTCAAGCCTTTTATTGTTTTAATATTGATGATTTTGGCATACAGCTCATGAAAATCCAAAATTCCTATCTCAAAAAATTAGCATATTTCATCCGGCCAATAAAAGGAAAGTGCTTTTAATAAAAAAAAAGTCAACCTTCAAATAATTATGTTCAGTTATGCACTCAATACTTGGTCGGGAATCCTTTTGCA